TATTACTGAAGTGAACTACTCTGCTATTCACCCAGCAATTTACTGGTGTTAACAAAGCCCCATAACATCTTGTTGTTAGGTTTGGTTTATAGCTGGGAACACAAAGGCAGTATGGTTACAGCTACAGAGTCCCTACAAATCAGGCCATCAGGTTATGTGCCCCTATAGCACTAAAGAACACGTTTCAAATCCAGGGGAAAAGCCCCAAGTTTCTACACTCAGTTCTTAATCAAAAATACCCCTTGTTGTTTATTGTTGTCAGCCCTACCTGGACAGCTTTCTTCAGGCATCAGTTCGACTAAACTCCCTCAACCCACTTCCCATCCTAACCCCTATGCTGTGTCCTTGCAAGCACTGATCAAAACACTGTGTATGGTCACGAAAAGAGGGATTGAAAGCAACCAGGAAACAAAAATACTTAACAGGAGGGAGAAGGTGGGTTCAGGTGCAGCACCACTTCATCGAAACCAGCAGCATCCCAAGGAGTGACACAAGCTGCTTTAGCATATGGCAGGCAAAAGCCTAACTGAAAGCAGCATTTATGTAAGGCAGTAAACATGCCATTACACAATTAACCATCAGACAACAGCTTTTCTCATCAGTTTATTCAGACAAGACAGAAGCTTGCAATTTTGTATACAGAAATGATCTGAAATATATTAGTTTTTTTCCCTCCTGTATATTTAACTCTGGACTTTTGCAAGAACAAAGCGACCTTTGGTTCAGGATTCACGTTTCAGCAGTACATATGCTCCCATTACAGCCAGCAGAGCATACTGCAAGAGAAAAGAGGGAATAAAGGTGGTTATCATTTTTCTTACAAAGTGTTCCAAGCACGCCCTGTCCAACACTACACCATCTAGGTCAGTACACCATTATGGAGCTGGGTTCCTACAGGTTTACAGGACTATTTCAATGGGATCATATTCATTACAAACAGCCATCACAACTGCAAACACTTCTGGAATTCCTACAAGCTAAAAGTTTTCAGGTTAGTCCAAATACTAAGTCCCACTGTATAACAGACAGGCTAAAACAAGCAAGAGCACCCAGCTCATTTTACATTAGGTACCAAAACACAGAACCACATTTATTAACCTGTTTTTATAGGCAACATTCTTACTATCTTCACTTGCTATTTTAAAGTATCCGAAATGTCTGCATACATACCTTAAATTTCGGATAGTCATTCATTATTATAGTCACCATCCCAACGTAAGGCAAAAACCTGTAATTCACAAAGCAGCTGAATGTAAGATGAACCCTAAAATATTACATGGAAGCTTCTCAGTGTTACTCAGTGTTGGTGTAAAACAATCATTTATCCTGCCACTAATGGATGGCTGAATGGGAAACAATTGGTTTTCCCCCCCCTAGATAAAAAAAATTAATCAAGTTATGCAAGATGTATCTTGGAGATCCACACTGGCGAGAGAAACCAGAGGCATCTTTTCCATGTAAAGTACTTTACTTCCCATTTTCTTTAAGAAATTCAAAGCCCCCCATACCAAACCCACTTTGTACCAACAGTGGAAGTGATTTAAGTTCCACATTTTCTTTCTATTAAACCATCAAGAACGTTTTCATTACTTACCCTCTTGCTCTTCCAACAACGTCTTTTTTCTCTAACCAGTTCTGACCTTCTTTGTACAAGCCTCTGTCATCGACTTCATTATTATCACCTTTAGTCAGAAATTTGATGTTCCCATTTCCTCTAGAAGGCAAAGAGGTGATAAACTAAATACCACTTAATATAAAAGCCTCAATTAACATCTACAAAGCACAACACAGATAAACAGTGTTATCTAATCTTGTAGCACTTTTCGCTTCCAGCCCTGCTTATTTAACACCATTAAATCATTAACATTACAGACCTTACTGACAGAATTAATAGATTTTAACAAGAAATGCCTTTTAAAAACATTCCTAGATTGTCATTTAATATAGGCAATGACACAATGGACGTGAAAGGGATATTGTCCATGCAGAGCAAAAGCTGTATGTGCCTATCAGAGAGAAACAACCCCAGCCCTCTGCATTTTCAACAGATCAGAAAGTTAACTCTGAAAGGCTGAACGGTTTCCACTAAGAGGTCTTGTCTATTTTAATCTTATTGCACAAATTGTGGAGCAAAAGCCCCTGAAGTCATCACACCTTGGAGAATTAACTTAACTCACAAGTTTCATTTGAGGGAGACCCTGAAAGTCTTCCCTCGGGAAGAAAGTGGTGTAACAATTTGACTTCTAAGTTCCAATTTGCTTCTAAGTTCTAGACACTTGTTTAATTCTCAGTAATTACACTTATGGCAAAAGAAAGCTTTGTCCTTCCCTTGATGGAAACAGATACTGGAGACCCTCTAAAGCAGCTGCAAAGCTACATCAAAATCAGTATTTTGTCACTAACACTAATACAGTTCTAGTCACTCACTGAAGCATCAGGCAGACATGCAGGTGATGCATGCAAGACTTTGGCTCAATGCTCCCGTTTAAATAAAATCATTAAGTTATTAATTTTGCTCAAGAAGCTGCTAATTGCAAGGAGTGATATCAAGAAACAAGGAGCTTTCACAAAGACAAATTAGGTATTAAAAAAAGGCAGCTCTTGGATGTACAGATCTGTTACAAAAAGCACTGAAGAACAGATACTTCTCAAAAGATACTTCTCAACACCTTCAGTTCATGGCCAGCACTTCCTGAGGGGCAAGTATGTTTGCACCCTTCACTGTGCAGAATTAGAAGCACTCTGCTCCCATACTGTTACTGCTGGCAAAACCAACGGGTACAGCTCGTGTTACTGGACTCCTCTTTGGCACAGGTTTACCTGCTTCAAACCTCTGATGAGGAACAGAACTCAGGGTCTCAAGAAGCGTGCCACAGGACTGGGGACAAAAGTGGATCACACCCTAGAGATGACTTATGTTCCAGCATGGCCTCACTGCCTTTTGTCATCAAATACCAACAAATCAGAACACGAGCAAAAGCCGTGGTGAAGGAGAGCACATTTAGAAACAAGGAAAACGCCAAGTTGCATTACTTTTCATGTACTTTGATTACTCTGTGAACTATTGGAATGTCTCTGCCTTCAACTTTAAAAACAACTATTTCACCAGCTCTGATTGGGTCATCGTGGAAATTTGTCAAGAAGAGCAGGTCTCCCCTGTGGAAAGCTGGTTCCATGCTCCCACTACAAGCAGAAAGAGAGAGAGACTTTATAAGCATTATGGAAGAACCACCATGAAAACAAAGTTCATTCTTACAAATAAACTCACAATTTTAACTGAAGTGTGTTGCTACACCCATTCAGTAACACTGCACAGACATTTAGCACAACCCAAGCCTCAGCAAGCCCCGAGCTGAGCCAGCCTATAGAAGGCTTCCTTACTGCCCCAGGGAAGCAATGAGATAACCTGGATTTTCAAAGGTGTCACATATCCACTGCTGCTACAAACTGCAGTGAAAACTAGACTGCAATTACAAAAGCAGCCTAACTCTTACGAAAACAGAGTTAGGAAAAAGGAAGCGTTTGAGAGCTCCTTTAAATAGGTGAGCCTTCAAACTCCAAATCTATCCAAGGGGAAGGGGAGGAGACACAGGACAAAATTCACATTTGGACTTGAACAAAAAAAGTCTTTACATTCACTTACCTGAGCACCACGACAATGGGGCTCTCACTTCCAGTCACCACGATCAGCCCTTTCCATATCATAAGGGCAGAAGACACAATCATAGCAAAGTTTAAGACCTGGTAATACAGCTGCATGAAACAAGACAATCGTTTCACAAAGTTACTGTGCTGTAGTTAAAAGCTTAACGCAGGACTTCAACCCATATGCACCGCTGACCCACACGGCAGGCCTGTGGACTTCCATGCTAAAATCACATTCCCACAGAAGCTGGTGGAACAGATGGCTGGAGCGCCAACGCAACCGTGCACACCACACTGCAGCACGAACCCAGCGTGTGCTTCAATCCTGCCTTGCTCTGCCTGGGCGATGCGCCCATGCGCTCCTGCTAGGAGCCAGCGAGCTCGCTAACAAAGGCTTCTCGCACACAGGCCTCGAACACTGCCGCCGATGGGGCAGCCGCAGCTCCCCCGGACACCCTCCGCCAGCCCCGGCCGGCCCCGAAGCTCCAGAACCTCCGAGCGGCCCCCACCTCCCGCCCCGCCCCGCGGGCCCGGGCCCTGGCCGCTACCTGCCGCTTGTTCATGCGCCGCAGGTCCCCGAAGAGATCCATGGCGGAGCCCCGGGCCGGGCCGCCCGCCGCCGGCGTCCTCCCGGGCGGCTCCTTAGGGCGGAGCGCGGCGGAAGAAGCCCGGGTCCCGAGGCCAACGCGCACCACCGGCCGCAGCCACCGCCGGAACGGAAGAAAGCGAGCCCCGTGCGCCCCGGGAGTTGTAGTCCTCCTCCTGGCCCCGCCCCGCTCACCTTCGCTGGGCCTTCACGGCACTTGAACTACAATTCCCAGCATGCACCGCAGCGAAGGGTCCTCAGGACAAAGCCCTTCGCCCCTGCCCGCAGGGGTGCCTGACCAGTTTGCCGTTGGAGGGGGCTCCCGGTGGGAGCTGAGAAACCCCCGGCAGGGCGGAATGAGCCAGGCTCGGGCGGGAAGCGACACAACGGCGGCGCCGGCCTCCCTCGCCCTCCCATTTGGGTCAGGCGGCTGCCGGCCACCTCTCTCTGGGACCGTTGCGACGTCCGCGCAGCTCATTGGCCAGCCGAGGCAGCGCGGGAGTCGGAGGGGCAGGAGCGGTGGGCCGGTAGGGGGCGCGGTGCTGAGGGGCAGCGCTGTGAGGGGTGCGATGGCGGCGCGGGCCGTGCCTCAGGGAGCCCGCGGGCGGAGCAGCTCCTTTCCTTGCCGTGCAGAAGGGCGGAGCACAGGAGCTCCGGAGGCCTCTTCCAGCTCTTCGTTTGAATAGCCGTGTGAAAGTCTGAACCGACCTGCAGCGAAAGAGGGACAGGTCACGGCCCAGGGCTGTGGATCTCCTGGGAATGAGATGAACTGGGCTGGGTTTTCACCGAGTCCAGAAGGAGTTCCCGGAGAGTGGATACGACCAAGGGAGAGCAAAGAGCGCGGGAAATGCGACTGAGATAAATGGGACCAAAAAGTTTGCCTGAAGGAGGGTGGAAAAGTGTTTGCTCCAGGCTTTCTGTTAGCAAACAGCCCGGAAAGAGTGCCCAACAGTGCTAGAACTGGCCTTAGGGCACAGGAGAGCCTGAGAGCTGGGGCTGCTCATCCTGGAGAGAAGAGAGCTCCAGGGGATCTTGCTAATGTATATCAATACCTGAATAAATAAAGAGCCAGACTCTTCCTGCTGGTGGTCAAAGTACGTGACACAATTTGCCATTATCCCCGTTGGAGCAGATGTAGGATTCACAAGCAGTTACTAAGCCGGAAGGAAAATACATCAGAGCAAACTCGGAGGTGGCTGAATTCTCTTTGTGTAATGAAGATTGGGATGAAAAAGCTCTGGAACAAAGTTGCCTGTTCTTCAGGAGTGGGATCTGCCACAGGAATGTTTGGTAGGTGCTTGTCCAGTGACAGCTTTTCTGCTGTTCCCCTGGAGCAACTTTTTCATCCAGGGTGCTTGGACATGGTTTTGGTCTTTAAACAGAGGGTTTCTCCTTTAAAGATTAAAAGTGGTGACCAGGAAGCACATTCAGTGTGAGGGAGACTTTCACATCACATCCTGTGGGTGACTGAACCACGGGATCTGGAGCCGTGTGTTGATTGTCATGCACATCTATGACATACGAGTCCGGCAGAGTTTGCAGATGTGTCCGTGTAAGACAGAGAAAAGGAATGATAGAGGTCACAGTTCAGTTTAGCTGTTGGTTACCTCCTGCCCGTAACACAAACGTGGGACTTGTTACTGCAAGAGTCACTCAGGTCTTCGTTTGTTCATTTGCTCCTCCGACAGCAGCTGATTGCCCAGAAAATTGTGCCTTTGGAGCAAAAGAGGCCAAATTCTCACTTGCACCAGAGTAAACCTCAACATCTTGTTGGATACACCACTGACTCGTACCAAGGTGTAACAGAACTGAGTTCAGATGTGCAACTCATAGGCAGTTCTAACCAGCCTGACAATCAAAAGCTTGCTTAAAATGACTTTGCCACTGGAATGCCATCTTTATGTTATTTCTTGTGGTTATAGATGTACATTTCACTTTAGCTGTTAAAATAATTCATTATTTTAGTGTAGAATATCATATAGGCCTTAATATAAGAAAAACCCCACAACAAAACAGCTTTTGTTCCACAATACCGTGTACCACAGCCAAATTCGTACTAAAGTAGAATAGATTTAAATATTACTTTGCATGGAATTAAATGTTGACATTTACCAGTAAATATTTGACCCTTTTCTATTATCCAGTTCTTCTAAGCAAGTTTATAACATGTTTGCAAGGTTATTTCATACTGGCTGTCATGTTTGAGGTACTTTGGGTTCTTACCAATATCTTCTCCATGAACTATTTCAGATTTCCTGGTTCAACAACTGCCCAGTGCAGTGCTGCAGTGTGTGATTGTGACCCAGCTCTCTAACTGAACCACACTGTGCAATCCTCCAGGGCTGCTACTCAGGTATGAAATATGGACCAGACCAGTGCAAGAAGGTGTGGCCGGAAGCATGTGGGCTGGTTGATGACTTGCTGTGCTCTCTTGTGGCTGCTGCAACCTAGAATTAATCATGAGACTTTTGAGGCTGTTGCAGGGTTTCACTGATGCAAAGGGCACAGGAGGACTTAGGATGTGACTGTGCTTCTACATCCTCCCACAAATAGAGCTGTGTGCAGTCTCTCTGTGTTTAGGAAGTCACAGAGATGTGACATCCTTTTGTCCAAGGCACAAACCCACACTTCACTCTGGGGCCCTAGTATCAGTTTGCCATTGATTTCAGTTCCAAAGCTCAGAAAACACTTTACTCACCCACTGTTCGTGATGAAACAAGGGAAACACATTAGTAAGGTGCTGGGAATCATCCCCACTTCTGCTGGTGGCTTTGTTCTTTCCTCATCTCATGATTTTGGTTATTAAAGGTTACATGTGTTTCGAAATCTTCTGCTCCTGTGAATGTTTGTCTTCAATATTTGTCCAGCAGATCTGTTGGAGCTCCGCACCTAGAAAATGATGCTCATTTTTTAGTACACAGAAAAATGTAGCTCTTGACATTCTGGCTGATTTGCCAGACCTTTGCAAACAGCCAGGCCTTAGTGCTACCTCTGAGGATAATATTTGAATGATGGCTCTGTGTTTTCAAAGAGATTGGTCATGGGCAAATAACCAGCACCTTGCACCTGAGCTGAACAATGTAGGTTAATAAGGAAAGCCATTGGAGTCCATTTGCAGCCACTGTGGGTAAAGCACAGAAGAAATGCAGTAACCCATTTCCTCAGTGAGCACTCTTCTTTTCAAATACATTTGGAACTCTTCTGCTGCCCATTCCTGTTGCTCAACAGGCTGTTAGGGCAGCCGGTAATACAGAGTGGTGTCCAAAAGCAACGGGATGCCACTTACACCAATACCACTCTCTGGATTATTCTAATACTTGGAGCACTAAGCTGCCTGTGTGAGTGGTTGCATCTGAGTGCAAGTAAGTGGAAAGCATCATTACACCATTTTCTGAGCCACAAAGCTGAGGGAATGTACCCCTGCCTCAGTTCCCTCATTCCACATGAAATCGTGTTCCGACAAAGACAGCTCTCCTGCAGCACCAACACGGAGCCCTGGGCCCCTCTTTCCTCCTTCTTGTGTGGTTTACATGTGGCTTCATTATCTCCAGCACGTCAATCTCATTCATTTTCACACACACGATATCCACTGATGGGCTGAAGGGCTTTGTTCTGTGTGTGAAAAATACTTCAGTGGAATATGGCCCCAGGCACACACCTTTGCTCTTCAAAGTCATTTCGGAATTTCAGCTGCTTCTGTTAGCCCACACACCCAGTGGTCTCAGGCAAAACTACATGTCTTGCCTTTGAAATCTCATTAAGGCTCCTTAAAACTGGGCTCCCAACACGCAGGACTCTGTGTCCTGTCACTGGAGAAATGGAGAACTTTATGTTTGGGGTTGTAATGGGTCCCTCTGGCTTCACCTTTCAATCACAGAAAGTCCAAGTACAGACCTTCCCCTGGGGCTTGGGAAGGCTCTGGTTTATCTTTTGTTTTCCATGCATGCTTCCCCCAGGCATTTTTATTTTGCCATTGTGTCTTCTGTTGGGTTTGTATCACATTCAGATTTCTCTGCCCTTTAGCTCAATGAAACTCCTTTCTTTGCTTTAAGGGTAGATGTTAGCTGGATAGTGAGAGTTTTAGAATCTAAAAGACCTCAGCAAGGATTCTTTTGTAAACAGCCTTTGAGAATTTTCCTTTCCTTTCCTTTCCTTTCCTTTCCTTTCCTTTCCTTTCCTTTCCTTTCCTTTCCTTTCCTTTCCTTTCCTTTCCTTTCCTTTCCTTTCCTTTCCTTTCCTTTCCTTTCTTTTCCTTTCCTTTCCTTTCCTTTCCCTGTCCTGTCCTGTCCTGTCCTGTCCTGTCCTGTCCTGTCCTGTCCTGTGAATCAGGCTCTGCCTGTACCTCCAGCCAGCCTGGAGCTGCCTCTGCCCCATCCCTGAGGCTGCAGCTCATGGTGAGACACAACCACATGTGCCCAAAGCCCTCACGCAGATCCAGCTCCAGAGAGTCCCTGCTGCTGTGTGTGACACGAGGAGGAACCCTGAGGAGCCCCACTGTGTGAAACACCAGTCATGTACTGGAGCGTTGGCTCAGAGCATCACTTCTTTATTCATCACAATATGATATTAATACCTGATGAATCTCCTGTGAAGCAGGAAAACAGTCTCAGGGGTTGTAGTAAGCATTACCAATAAAGGTTAATGTTTCTTGGGTGCTTTTGGCATTGATGTGCTGATATCTTTGTAACAGGGACCTGGTGCTGTGAAGTGTTTGCTGTCATCTCCCCCAGGGTACCTCTGTAGGGAAGCAAGGAGACAGACCTGATCTGTGGTTAAATCAAGAGATCTGCCTCTGCCCTCTTGGCCTGTGAGCGGTTCCCTTTCAGCACAGCAGAATCTAACATCTTTAGAAAACATCCTAGCCTAAGTGCAACTGCTTCTGGAAGGGTCTGGGAGCTCTCACAAACCCAAGCTCCCTCAGCTCAGGTTAGACAGGGCTGAAGGTGATACAGGAGACCGGGAACACCTTGGAAACCTCTGTCTGCTTCCAGATTGAGGCATGGCTGTTCTGGGAGCCACAGCTGTACAGTGCTGGAAAACTCAGAGGCTGCTGGTGATTTAGTGATGAGGGAAAGGTCGTGTCGCTCCACTGCCTTCCCAATGCACTTTAATTCCTGAACAGTTCTGATTTAGTTCCCAGAGTTTATGTGCAGCTCTTGTTTTCTGGTCACCTCAGTGTCTTGAACTATGATGACTTTTCCATGAGCTCTTCTCTCTGCTGTAACTGTATTACCTGGGAAGATGAGCAGTGTAGCATCAGTAATTGGCCGGTAATGATACCTGTTTATCTCTTTCATCTGCTCTGAAGAACTGAGGGTAAAACACTGCCTATGAAGTATTTATATGTGTGAAGGGCCTTGAAGGCCTTGGTCATAGCATCACACAAGACAATCTGGTCCCTTGTCCCTGAGTTCAGTGGAGACAAATTTGGCCTCTGGCCGTAGAATCTGCTATCTGATGCTTGTGCCTTGACCTTCCTGAGATTTGGAAAGTGCTTGACATTACATGAGTGAAGCACATCATGTGTGGGCAACACCTCAGCGAGTGTAAAGCATCCAGAGCAATGCTGGTGCTGCGTGATGGAGATGTTTCTGTGCTTATAAAGGGCTCTGCTCATTTTGCTAACAGCAACAGTATGGAAATGTGATGACCAAGGGCTATTTTGAGACAGTAGCTCCTCCACTTGCAACTTGAATGCATCCATCAGGGGCTGCTCTGCATTTTAACTGGGAAAGGGACAGTCACTTCAAGTAGGAAATATTGTTGTACTTCAATATTAATCTGGCACACAGAGCTGTGGCAATGGAGCTGAGTGGTGGCCAGGATCAGAGACAGCAACACTTATCAAGCAGTGCATCCATCTTCCCACCATTGGATTAGAACCACAAAATACACAAGAGTAGAATTTGAGAATATGAAACAAATGAACTGCATAAAGGCTTCTGCCAAATCACATTAGGGACCAGAGCTGTGAAGGATACAATTCTAATAGTCACATTACTGCTTCAAATACAGTTTTCCTTCAAAGTAGGAACCTGGGGGTCAGAGAAGAAAACTGTAGTGCCTTCTGTTCATTTTCCAGATGGACCTGGGTCATTTCCAATGACTTGTTCTACCAGGTCTCTTCAAAACAGCCCATAGCAGTGGAAGAAGTGCTCCTTCTTTCCTGCTCCTACTCCATCCACCTCTGGCTACATAACCCAGGTTGTAAGTGGAGCCCAGGGATGTAGGTTGACTATGCTTGTGCCCTCTGTGTTTGCCATGTTCTGTACTTCTTTCTCTTTTCCCTCCATTCCTACCCTTGCTCCTTTGGGGAGCTTAGACACATAACCTTTTAGTAATAATCTGAAATTCAAATACTGAGAGTTGATTTCTGAACTGCCCTAATATTTGAGAAAGGTTTTAAAGCAAAATAGGTTCTTCTGTGTCCCATTATTGGCCTGGCAGCTGCGTGTGTGTGCTGAGTGTACTGAGAAAGGTAATATTAACAGCATGAAAAGGTCAGAGTTATATAAAAACCCTTTTAAAACTAAATAGGCCTCAACTCCCCACAGATACGCAGAGGTTAAGAACTGAGATCTGGGCCTTCAGTAGGTCAAGTTGTGCATCTGTAAATGCCCTCCAGACTAAAAACACAGACAAGTCCTGAAGTACAGCAGCTGTGGTCAGCCAGATGCAACTTCTGCTCTACTTCCTCTGCAAGAAGGCTGCTGGCCAGGGCAAGGCTCAGAACCTCCCTGAGCAAGGCCAGACCAGGACCTAGAGGGTACCCCTGTGCAGGGTGGGCAGTGCATATGTGCATCATGGCCAATACCCATCAACAAAGGAGGCAGATACACAGTGCAGGCCTTAGAGGGGATGTATGTGGACAACACAAGTGTATTCATTCACTTGAACATGCTGAGTTTGAAGCTGGGCTCTGTGGCTCTGAATGCCCCAGGGCCTGCTGTGGGTTTGCTTTTCCCTGAGCAGAATGCTTTTGCTTCCTATGGGGTTGATTGCAGGGAATGAGGCAGCTCTGCCTGACCGGTGTCCCACTTCCCCTGGCTCATTGTTCCTTCCAGCTGGTGTCTCAGCCTTTCTCAAGGGCGTTTTTGTTGCTCGCAAATTGAATCCTTTGGAAAGTGTCTGAGTTTGGCCCCATTCACAGTGTGAAGGGCTGGCACCATGCTGCCTCTCCAGGCACTGTAAACTCCCATGATGTCATTTTCTGTTCCTTCCCCACTGGTAATAAGGGCCTGCCCCCATGAAGATGCAGCAAAACTGCCCTAAGTACTATGTGTGGGTTTTGCCCCACAAGTACTACAGCCATGGACTTGTCTCCATGCTACATGCACAGCCCTGGGGATAACG